CTTAATAATTCTTACGTAATAATTAAATTACTTAATCTTTAGGTAGCATTTATCTAGCTTTTCAGTCGTAAGCATTCGAGGAATTGCTTGATGCTCCGTATTTTCACGTTGTTTTAGAGGTGCCTATAATTGCCAGTTATCGAGTATATTGGAGGATTTTTTTAGGACCACGCGGAGGTGTCTTTAGACTACCAGACCACTCGGGATACGATCGCGCGGAAGCAACAGCAAATGGATGTTTCTCTTGTCAGTTTTATGCTGAATATTTTTCCATCGATATCCATCACATTCGCAGGAGATAAGTTAAGATGTAAGGCGTTCATGGTACTTTAGCTAACCGGTAAAAACTTGCACGAATTTAGTTATTGAACCTCGACTGGAAGCAGCACCTTACGTATCAGCCCTTCTGCCTGAAAATTTGAGATTTTCGGTTGACTATAACGACGACGAAGACAGTTCTGAAAATGAATTAAACACGGTGGACAATCCTTTTTTGAGACTGAGTAGAATTCACAGGAGCAGCGAAAATTCTCTGTAGTTTGATGTTCTGTTTTGTGTTATGTTAATTATTTTATAGCTGTTCTTGATTATTAGTCCACACTGGATGTTTATTTTTAGTTGCTTAAAAATATGTAAACGCCGAAAATGTCTTCACGCTGCTTTCCGTAAAAAAGCTGCGACCAGTTTTAGTTTACCTAAACTGCTCCAAACTGGGTTCATGTGTTTTTCTACCATCGCCACATACGGAAACGATAAATAAATGTGTAATTAAATGAGGTTTTCCGTCTCGGTCAAGATGGGAGTAACTGTCAACGATGAATATGAGAAATAACCTTTTAACCTTGATATCTTTATCGTACGAAATGTAGCAGTCTTGACCATATGAATCTAGAGGTAAAACCTACGTAGTCTGAGCATTTCCGATAAAACAGTAACTATGCAGTTGCACGTATGTGACTTATGCTAGTTGTAGCATCGATGTAACATCTAATTTTAGATGTACGTTCGTTAGCGATATCGGTTGTTGCATAACTGAGAGAAATAGCAACATTTTACGTCATTGCTACTTTAATTCCGTGCATACTCTTGCACACAGAAAGTAGGTGTTTAGCAAATTTTATTTCTTTCAGTTTAAATTCTAATGTAATATCCGTGGGCAACAACGCAGCTTATCAAATTTTACTTTAATTTTACTATTGTTGTTACTACGGTTACCAATGAAATGCGTCATAGAATACTGCTTTATTTGTTTTTACCCGTATTTAAACCTAAAAACAGGTTTCTATGAATATTGTACTGTGTCATTAACGAATGAGTCCTCCGAGACCAGATTTCACGGCGTACGGCATTACCCTTTGTTCCTGATGGCCCAGAGAGACAGTATAAGCAGGCTGCGGCTCCAAGACGTTTGAGCTTTTGCAATGCCAGTCACATTATGCATCATTTTGTTCGCTAGAGCCACCTCTCGCTAATCACGAAATTGTTTCTAAAGCGCTACTCCTCCCTCACAAGTAACTCCATAGATATAATAAGTTGTTCGTATGCCTGAGAAGTCAACCATCCAGTGAATCTCCCGGTAGTATATGAGGAGTACCAGTTCCTGAAAATTTTTTCGTCATGAGCTTGAGGTGACTAGTGGATACCTGCACGTTTTGAAATACCATGGAGCCGTATTCTAATTAAATAATCTTCTTA